ATATCATTTGAATTTCTTCAATTTCAAACGAATGAGCGCTGATTTTCGTATAATTTTTGTAGTATTTCAAATGAATGTACCCACTGTTGTCTTCTAATCGGATTAAAATCTGGCCGAATTTTGGCTGATATCGAAATAAAGTTTGGCCGAATTTGGCCGTGAGATGGCGTGTGTTTGGCCGTGAAGCCTGTCGACTATCTGGCAACCCTGCTTGCGAACTGCGTCGGAGAATGCTAGGGTTTGGTATGCTGCTTGCCCTCTCTCTCTCTCTGACAAGACGTGATATGTTAATTGTCTGATGTTCATTGCTTTAGATAGTGTTATTACTTGTAATGCAGATGTAAACTGTTGTTACAATGTTTTCAATAAGTTAATTTTGAATGATATTTTATTTAAAGAACTAGGCCATACGTAAAATGGAAAGGACGAATAGGCCTTTTTCACGAATCGGTAGACATCTTGAAGTGATGACAAACATTGTGAATCAGCGGTGCGTAACCAACAGAAATAAGATAAGCTTTTGGGTTGATTTTCTGACATCATGTTGTTTAAAAAATCATAACTCCATAACGGGGCGTCGTATCCAAAAAAATGTTTCCAGGAAAATGTTCTTAAAAGACCAGTCTACACCACTATATGATTGAAAATTTTTTTTGACCTCTGAAATCAAGATTGAAAAAGAAAAGCCTATCTTAGTAGTGTATTAAAATAGGCCAATGCGTTTCAGTGCATTCATAGGACTTTCGTGTTGTTACTGTTCCAAGTAGCGATAATATACATATTTCTCTTATTACAAAGTACAAGTTATGTTTTATAAAGAGGTATAGTATAGTAAATCATGTTTTTAACACCGGAAACTCTCATATGGTAACTAAAACAATGCTAGTTCAGAGTATTACTAGTACTAAGCACTGTAATGCATATACCTATTTTAATACACTACTGAGATAGGCTTTTATTTTTCAATCTTGATTTCAGAGGTCAAAACAATTTTTCAATTTTTTTTCAATCATATAGTGGTGTAGACTTACTGTCAACATTTTGACATGTCTAAAATCCACTGTTTTGCTGAGCCACGCCGTAGAGCCCTTTCTGTAAATGATTTCTTTCGTGTGCAACTTGCGTTTGTAAACTTCAAAACACGTCAAAATCAGTCTATCGTTACCATACCACTATCGTGCTTGTGGAGTTTTCGTGGTTTCGGTCTAGAAAATGCGTCAGATATCGTCATTTCGAGTTTTTTCAGAAACAAAAAACGAAATTTTAACAAATAACAAAAAAATTGACGCGGGCCCAAAAATCGATGCGGGCGGGGGACAGGAAAAAAGTGATTTTGTTACTTGGCCTAAATAAACACAATCGTGACATTAATTGGATTTCTGTCTCCGGGTGCTATATAATATGTGTTTTATGACTTTGCTTTTGCCCACTCTCTATTTCGTATTCAACACCAACGGACACGTTCTGAAGGTCACATTAGCACCTGCGTGAGAACGCCCGATCGGTTAGCGCTAACCGTTAGCGGTATCTGGATACCGTTAACGGTTAGCAAGCGCTATCGGTTAGCAAGTGAACGCATTTCTATCATCAACCAATCATACGTCATATTCTTGGTATCCGGATCAGGATTTTCTCATATGGACGCACGGCAGCTAACGGTTAGAAAGATCCGGATCCTGCTAACCGTTGGCAGCCGCGTGAGAACATAGCCCTATACATATTGTAAATCGGACGCTTCTAATTGTTACGCGTAAACGTAAAGTCGCGCGGCGCACGCTATGGTCAGAGCGGTCAAGGTTCAAAAGTTTCCAATTTAGCAAGAGGGCGTCGTTCATGCGTTATTACTGAATTTGCACGCGTAAATTGCGGAGAACGCTATCTTGTGTTTATAAGATCCTTTGTTAGGGTGCCATATTTCTCTGAAGAACTAGGCCTATTAATTACCAATTGAAGCGTAATTGATGTAAATAATTACAAAGATACTAGTATCTTTGGTAATTATCTTTAATTAGTTATCATTCAATTAATCATATGCTTCAGTCTAATTATTATCTTTAGAATCACCTGATAGTACTGTGGTAACAATATGATGTCTAGTAGTAAACAGTACTGACCAGCTAGAAGTTAGGCCTAGGCCATGGCCACCTACAGTACTGGTGGTGTAGTGATGTAGCGGCGCCTGTGTGCGTTCGCTAGGTATAATGTAGATACCGTGCAGCGTAATCTGCTGCGCTGTGATTGTGATTGTGGTTTCACCTTTATTTGAGTAATAGTTTTCATAATGTTTGATGTTATGATGTTAATGCAATGTTATACGTTACTATTTTAGAGATAACCATCATCATCGATTAAGGAGATATCCAATGCCATTTACCAAGGCAACCTACAACCACTCCAACCATTATTATTAATGTACCAACCACGTCTGCTTAGACGGTATTCTACAATAAATCACACACGTGACTAACAAAAGAACTGGCATCCGTATTTTTATTCTTGTTTACAGAGAGTGTGAAGGCATCATGTCGTCTGTCAACGCTTCTAATTCGAAAGAATAGCCCCAGCACATTGTGAATATCTACAATGGATTTCAGCAGTCCCAGGTTTTTTACTATAATATTGTGGAATGATTAATAATAATAATAATAATAATAATATTGATAATAATAATAATAATAATAATAATAATAATAATAATAATAATAATAATATTGATGATGATGGTAATGATGACGCACATGAAACAGACCAATGTGAAGATACTTTATAAGAAATGCATCACGTAAAGAGATAACCTCTAGTTTGTAATGTATTTGCCTCAATCATTTACCTGCATTGTTAAAATTGCTAATAATTGCATTTACATCCCATGATAGATTTCTGAATTTTGGCTACCTTGATGGTATTCAACCAGTTTGCTGAAAGCCAGTTTGCCAAATCTCAGATTGCCGAGTCCACTTGGCCGAAACCATATTTGCCGAATGCCATTTTACCGACCCAATTTTTCGAAACCCAGTTGCCAAATTTCAACCCACTATACTAAAACAGTTTGTCGAATGCCTTATTCACCATGGTGGGTAAAGGTACAAAGAGTTGCAGCATACCGTGTTTTGGTCAGTGACGTATAGTGTAGCATATCTGACATGGATGGGGGCCTGGTGGGCTGATGGAGGCTGCGAAGTTTGAGTGTGGGGGAGGGGCTCAAGGATAAAGTAAGAAAGAACCATCTGGCAAAAGAAGTTGAAGTAATGTGATTTTTAACGTGCTTAAGTGTTAAAAAAGCTGGGCTCTTATACCCACTAAAGCATAAATCACTCGCGAATATGTTCCGGCAAATTGGGATTCGGCAAACTAGGTTTCACAATTCTTGAGTTGGCAATTTGATATTCGGCAAAGTAAACTGTGCAATCTGGGATTCGGCAAACTGAGTTTTGGCAATCTGACTTATCCGGCTGGTTACAAGATTAAATTCATTGCTTTTGAAGTTGGACCTATACCTATGCATATCTGATTAATATCTAGTTTTCATAAAAGAAAATAAGGAACAAATAGATAAATACATAATAATGAACATACAAGAATATATTGCTTAACATAATTTTAAAATAATGCTGTTGTTATTGATGTCTGATGCGTGACACATTTGAAAATGTCACCTCTTGTCCTGAATGATAATACTTTTGCACCTGTGCCTACCCTGTGTATGCGACATCAAACTCAAAAATATTAAAGCTATTTTTAAAGTATCTGAACATTAAAACATGTGGTATTTTTCAAGTAAATAATTATGAATTACATTGCATATTTTAGTGTACAATAGTCTTCGTAAATTGTTATAAATTGTCTTTTCATGCAAAAGGCCTTGCTTCTATCCGATCAAAACCCTTCTTAACATGCATAATATTGTTGCTATAGGCTCTATTTGTGACAACCGAGCTCGAATTATACGATCTTCTTGAGAATAATGGCAGGATGACAGCATTTGAAATAGCCTGCAAGAAAAACATAAACTTGGACGCAACAGAGCGACTGCTAGATTTCGCTGCTGGATTGAAACTGATTAGAAAAGAAGATGGATCAGATCCTGGTAAGTGATCATGAAGCAATGAAGCAATAGTCACTGTATAATGATATTAGGCATTTTGCGTTTTGACTACGCGGCCAGTATACTACAAACTACTGTAATAGAGCGTAACAGACATCTGCGCATGCTCACAAACCTTACTGGCAAAATCGGTTTTGTGACAGCTTCCACGACAACCCCAATTTCTGAATTTGGAGTAGAGGCGACTACCCTAATATTGACCAATCAGATCACCGGATTGTTTGGCAAACTGCTGGTAACTTTTTTGTTGGGGGTTGCAATTTTCATCGCATCCGCGATCGAGCATTTTTCGTTTAATAATGAATTAATTATTAAAACAAGTGAGTAATTAAATGTTTTATAAAGGCCTATTTATACACATGCAATAAATGAGGAATGAATAGTCACAACATAAAATTAGGTAAATCAGGGGATAGTGAAAAAAAGGGCTTAGGCCTAGGCTAGCCTAGCCTTTGTCAGGGTGGATTTCGGGTAGGAGAAAACACATTATCTGGTGCCGCTAGCTAGGGCATCCGCCCTTGATATCGTGGATCAAGCCTTGCTATATAAATACCTCTGTTTAAAATTGTTGTACATCGTTCTTGCATTTGGCAAATTGCCTGAGAAGGCCTGACACCCCTCTTCTCCCGGTTAACGACTCTTTTGACACCTAGGCTAGGCTAGGCCTAGGTAGATCCTAGCCAACAGCGGAACATCACTCAGTGTTTTCTAGAAACTTCTTATTTTGTATACAGTATCTGACTAAATTTTTTTTCACATTTCCTTTTTCAAATATAAAACAAGGGAACATTGTTCTCTGGTAATAAAACCATGGTCGACTAACTCCTTTCCGTAGGCATACGTACATGTGCTTTGTCGTCTTAGTCGCCTTAAAAAAAACGAAAAACAGCTCTTGGTGTAGTACGCGAACAGTGTCTTGGCGTTGCCGTCACGGTCCATTAGTTCGTAGTAGACTGACTGCGTAGTCAAAATAAAAAATGCCTATTGTTTTATACAGCTACTAAGTGTTGTGTTAGATCACAAATCAGAGAGTTAAAAAAACAATACTTTGGAAAATGTTATAAATAATCTTAAACATGGCTCATGTGAATGGTGGACCCAAAAAAAGAAAATCCTTCCTTTGATCTAAAGAATTTTCCTAATTTTACCATCCTCAAACGGCGGTACTACGTCAGACCCATTTATAATTGCCTTAAGCCTACCTTTCAGTTCTAAATTCTTCCCAATGCTCCAGTAATCTTTTAATGTTAAACTTTTTCTATCCATGTACTCCACCTTATTGGAATGCCCTGAGGCATAATGTGAGGTACAGAGCACCAAGGGGATGGGGGTGATGTGGTTTTGGCAATGGCGCACATGTGTTTTGAAACCTCAGGGCCACCATGGTTGGGCCCGACGTGAGCAAATTTTAGGAAATAATACCTCTAGAGGCCCAGAAATGACACTTTTATATAGTAAAATTCATTATCACGTCATCATTATATAGTCAAAATGCAGGCCAACAAATTTCTAATGTTTTACCAGCCAGCCATTTTAGGCAACCATAGGAGATGTAATTACTATGAGCGATGCATCATAGAAAGTGAAACTTAAAAACTTTGTCTTTGATGTATACTTATTAGGCCTACTTTAGGCCTACCTAGTTCAAAGACTGAGTCCACACCTTAGTGGGGGCGGATTTGGGAAAATAGTACATCTTGATTCCTTGAAATGACATTCATATTATAATTCATCTTCATCGTCGTTTTAATTAATGGCTGTGATCAGTGGCGGCGCCAGGATTTCCCCGTGGGGGGGGGGGGTTGGTGGGGTGGCTGAAGTTGCTACAAACTTTTGAAAGTGGTCCAGGTGGCATAGCTCCCCGAAAATATGACAATCACAATTTAGGGGTTTCAAAGGTTTATTTAATCGATTGTAGAGTCTATTAATATGTAAAAAAATACATATAATTTTATATATTTTTTTCTTCCTGTCGAATTGTGGTTTATCTCCTCTACTGGGAGCCCCCTAGAGCTTATTCGAATAATGAGGTATATTACAATTATTGTATTATATAAAAATTTTACTTAATTATCTGTCTGTAATGCCAAATAATATAAAAACAAAAGTATGATTAGCAATCAAATTATAACACATCAATGCATTCAGGGTGTGGTGAAATGATGGGAGAGGATGATGGATCTATGTGTGGCACGTTTGTAAGGAGTCTGTATAATAGTTCACAAGTTGTGGTTATGGTGATCCTCAAAAGTATAGAATAACCCCATACTATTTTAATATTGTATTCATTTATTATTTATTTATTAATCTATCATAATAAGTCTAAGAACAATAACGTCAATTATTACCGAACGTGATTAAAACATGCAGGTGGGTACGATTCCTTTTGGTTTCAAGGTTGGCGAGGCCTCGTCGCGACTCCTATTACTTTTGACTCAGAGATTGATATGATCGGACCGGATTGAATTAAGTCACTTTTATTGAAGGAAGAGGTTTGATTTTAGTATTACTCGATGAGAAAGTCATATGAACATCATATATTTATATTAAACTAGAAATTGCAAATTGCAAGTGAAGTGCTGCGAAGTATAACTGCATATACCGTAAATGTTCTTCGAACAAAATTATTTATGCGAGTCAAGTGAAAATAACGAATAATTAAAATATAACAAATAATATGAGACACGACCCATTGTCTATATTAGAACAGCGTTGGTACCGTGTACAATAGTGTTTTGCTGCAGTGACATCTCGCTGCTGGCGACTCGCTGCTGCCGGCGATGACTCGCTGCTGGCGAATCGATCTGCGCATGTGTATAAAATGGTATTTATTTCCGAAAACACTGTGTATGCCAGTCTACAGCAAGCGTCGCCTAAATGTAATAATTAGCATGTTGAAATAGGCTAGTAAATAAGTTTAACTGGGTTCGTAAATAATATTGGCCTCAAAATATTGTGGCTGAGACATGGGCCGATTAAACGTAGAAATAGGAAACCTAGAAATATAGTAAAAATGCTTAATAGTAATACTCCAGCGTCGCGACATGTGGACGTTGGTACGAGTGGGTTAGTCTACAAATGTCGCCTAAAGTAATTGATTTTATAGCAGAACGAAAGAAGGAAACTCAGCTTTTCAGTTGTCTTAGGCCCTCATTTTTTGACAAACAATGACCTTTCAGGGGTCAAATTGCTGTCAAGAATATGAATTGGCTGCTTCGCAGCAAGTATTGTCATTGTGGTGTCATTGTCACTTTTAGGGATTTGTAGCGTGTTTCAAGGTGCCTTGCACTTTTGGTACAATACTGCAGCTACACTTCGTTCTGCCTCGCATGAATTGCAGTTGACGTGGTCACCAGGGTAGATGGCTTGCATGAATCGCATGCCTCGCAGTTTGTCTTAGGCATATGTCTTGTGGCTGCTGAGGGGAGGGTGTTCATGGTCACCCAGCAGCAAGAAAAACCAATAGCTGAACAACGGGCGGATGAGCTCCTCGGAGTCAACGGCCAACCATTAATTAACAGGAGTAGTTTAGCCTCATTGTTATTATGATAATTAGGCCTGGGCCTATTATTTTTTTATTTTATTTTATAGTTATTATTTTATTGTTATTTGTATTTTCTCGGTTGGCCTATATATTATTTCTCTGTAAAGCGCATAGGGGCAATGTGCAATATGCCCTATATAAATATAACATTATTAAATCGATTTTTTAATTGACAAAGTGCCAGACAATTTGCATAATAAGGTTCTGAAGTTCTGGGTATAGAAATAATGTGACTATAATATATTTTATGTTCTTTGGCTAGGCTGGATAAAAATATTATGGCGGTGCAATATTGAGTTAATAGTAATTTATATTGTGGAGAGAGAAATTGAAAGTGGTGGGCTAAGTTATAACATGAATTTCTTTGGCATTTTCTTACAGCTATCTACAGTAATATCCCAGAGGTAGCAGATGCCCTACAAGCTAGTAAGCCTAACAACATGGTGGCAGCGGTGCTCCATGCTTCCCGCATCCAGTACCCTTTATTCCAGAATTTGAGGACTGTTATCAAGGATGGAAATAATACACAGGCTTATAAAAATGCGTTTGGATTTGAGGTGAGCCATGTTCTCTTTTTCATATACATCTTGTAGGCACAGGGGCTGAAGGCCAGGTGGCTGCCTAGGGCCCCCGGCGGGGTCCTGGGGCAGAGCCCCTGTTGGGGGTCCAAGGGGGCGAAGCACAGCACATTCAAGGAATATGAGGTTGTATTGAGTCGATTTTGACTATCTAGCATGGTAGTTTTCAGTAACGAATAAATAATTAAAAAAAAAAAATAGGTGTATGTCTTTTAAAAGAAATTTAAATATAAAGTACCTGCAATATGCAACTATGAAATGTGTCATTAAATTAAAAATAATTCATCTACTCACAGCTGTGGGTGTTAGTGCCTCTTCTACGAACATCTCAAACATAATCTTTGACAACATGCAAAGGCTCATAAATGTACACCATTTCAAAAGAGAAATTTCACTTCTAGAAAACATGATGAAGTTTCTCAGCAACATCGAGCATAAAAATCACAAAATCAGCAAAAAGGAAAACTAATATCCAAAATCCGTTAAAAAAAGTTGTCAAACAACAAAATCCGCTACTGTACATTAACATTGAGTAAATTACAAGTGTTCTATTTCTCACCAATTGGATTTATGAATAGCACTCTCCTAGGGTGTTTTTGGTAGGAAAAGAAGACTTAAACACTGTGGGTGTTTTTTCTTTTCTTTCTTTTCGTTTTTTTTTTTCCGCCACTGGAAATAGGCCTAGGCTTTAGGTTTAGGTAGGCTTACTTTGTTTCATGTCAATTAGAGACAACAGGATTGTACAATTTCATACAGTATATCTTGTAAATTTCACAATGATGATTAAACCAGGTGCTATACTTAAAAACAATAAGGAAGTAAAACTTACACGTCAAAAGTTTCAAATGTTGTTTACACAAAAACTGTACTTTATTAAAAGAGTAAGTCTACTGAAGGGGTGTAGTCAATAGAGATGTGCACACATATCAGTGTACTGTGTCACTGTGCATGACGTTGTCTGACAGCACATACCTGCTGACCTCGATAGAGAGTGATTGATTGCACGAAAGTTTTCATGCCGGTGCATCTGCGCTATGCATTGCGCGATGTGACATAGAATCAACCTTCCTATGGAATTGAGTATCTATTCAATTATCTCAAAAAAAAAAAAAAATTTTGTGATAAAAGTCCACCCCAGAGGCACCCCTCAAACTAAGATGTTTAGCCAGTCATTTATTCTTTCCCCCTCATCATTCATGCCTTCAAAGTATGCTCTTAGTTAGCTGTCACTAGGCTTCCATCTCAGCCATATTCTTATCTTGCGGGACTGTTCCTGGTGTTGTTGATTATATGTTATCACATGTGTTCCTTTCGTTCCCATCCATGTCTTCTATTTGTCCCTGTTGTTGACCAGCTGTCCTCAGGTCACTTTCCAAATGTTGAATAGCTGTAATCGAGTGTTTTCTCTCTCATTTGATATTAAACAAGGTTTCAATATAATTGGTGATGCTTTATAAGAAGAGTAAGGATATAATCCTCCAAAACCAATGTTTCTACTCCCAATGCTCTTATAGATTTGTACATGAATGTTTTAGTCACCATCAAAGGCGAAGGGGAGGTTAGACATTTGTTAATTGGTTTTCGTAATACTACGACTTCATTGACCACCTAACAGTGAAGTTTGGAGTTACTATATAATGTAAAATAAGATATATTGCTTTCAAATCATTCTGTGTCACTATAATGAAGAGGTCTCACAAGTTTCTTGGATGGGGCCCATACTCTTCTTTATCTTTGCCAATATCCTTCTTGGAATGGTGACGTGTGTGAAGTGCATGGATAACACCTTTGTCTTTGAGAGGATTAGTAAAGATGGAAAAAGGAGTGTGTTCCACCCAGTATCAGATGCCATGTATATAGAACAAATTTCTTCCATCTGTTTTGGAATTTAATAACTTACTTGATAATTTTAAAAGAGCTGTCAAAATTCAAAACTAACAGGATTAAAAATTTATTTACCATTCATGTCACTAAGGATGATGAAGTTTCGGGCTTCTCGGATGGTCACTCAGTGCAGTTGTAATTTTTTTGTTTATATTTCTAAATTTGGTGTTTTTATCTTTAGTTGTATTTTGATATTTTTATTTGATGCTTATACAATTTTAATGTTTGATGTGTTTTTATTATACGATGTTTAAATTTAATTTGAAATATTTCATATTTAAATTGCAATGAATAAAATAATCGATTTATTGATATACTTATTTTTTTTAAATTTATTCTAAATAGGTTACCTCTGAGAAGTTTGATTCGTTGTATAGTAGTGACCAAGACTATTCAACCATTTTCCTTCAATTTATGCATGATTTGTCTTCACTCACGGCACCGGGTGTTGCTAAATCGTTTGACCTTTCACCTTTCAGAAGAATATGTGACTTAGGAGGTAATTAATGAAGTTTCAACATTGAATCTATGATGTAACAGATTATTATGTGTTTATGTGTAGGCAGAATGCGCTGGTTTTACGTCAAAAGTTCTGTCTGTTGATCCCTCTTTTTGGATGTTGTTGCCAAGGTCCCACGAAACGACAAAATAAGTGCAAGTAAACTTGCATGTTTGTGAGATGTGCGCGTACAGTATTCATGACCCTAAATACTGTGATTGAGTAGAAGCCCATTAGCTTAATCTGGAGTAGAAGATTATTATTTGAGATTATTTTACCTCACAACTGGCTCATAAATTTAGTTTTTATAATTTAATTGATTGATTTTTTTCGGCATTGGTTTTATGTTGGAAGGTCATTGTGTCTAGTACCACATTACCACTCCCCCTGCAAGCTATGCTCATCTAGAGAGGCCAAGAGACCTTGAAAAAGCAACAGACGCATTATTGGATGTGATTTAGCTATCTTACTTAATGTTAACTTTTTTAACTACAGGAGGCTCGGGAGCATTAGCATATGCATTAGCTTCTGAATATCCAGACGCTTCAGTAACAGTATTTGATCTACACTCTGCCATAGAGAGTGCACAGAAAATAAGACCTGAAAAAACAAAAATGTTGAAAGTAGATTTTCTTGCTGGAGATTTTTTCAAAGACGACTTTCCTCGGGCCAACTTGTATACCTTTGGAAGAATTATTCACGATTGGGAAGAGGATAAAGTTCACCAACTTTTAGAAAAGGCGTTTCATTCTTTGGAATCTGGTAAGAAAATAACTGTTTCTATAAATAGATAAATATCATTAGTGTTTTTTCTATAAATAGATGAACACTATGATATTTAAACGGTGGGTCTGTAATCAGCACTTGGGTTCTAAAGTAATAGTTAGGTGTTTTGTGTTGTCTTAAAATTAATCAAAACAACTGAAAATTAAATTTAACAAAAAAAAAAACAAAAAAAAAAAAGACAAATCACATTACATTCCATAAAAGTTAATTTAACTACATATATGAAACGATGTAGGCATATAAATTTTACTAAAATTAATCTTATAATATATTTAATATATTTATAAAAAACTTTTTTTACTAAGACAAAACAAATAATAGGGAAACATTTGATATCAGTAATCAATAAAAAAAAAATTAAATAACTTCCAGAATATAACTTCTCATTAAATCAACTTTATGCTGATATAAAAGTGCAAAAAATAAAAAAAATAAAAAATCTCATTTTTATTAATTAGTCGCTTACACAAAACAGAAGTAGAATGCCAAGTCTCTATAAGAGGGTTTGTTTGGTACGTGAAAAAAACAATTCTGTCTTTGCCAAAAATTAAACCAAGACTTTGATAATAGAAAACAAGTATCTTTACAACAATGCTCCATTCTAATTAAATCTTCAAAATACCTAGGTTTTTTTCACATAATGTTGAACATTTCTAATCCTTTCAAAATTGCACATATATTCAACCAACTTTGCTCAGATTGGTAAACATCTTTATTCTAAACTTAACTTTCTCTGTGGACTTTTTATAATTTTAATACAAAGTTCTAATTCTTTCATCCATTAAGGAATCCTTTGGTATTATTATTACAAATTTAAGCACCGAAAAGTCCCAATATTTGACGAAAAAAAAATCAAGAGTAAACCATTCATTGAGAACATTTCTATTTTATTTTATTTCAAGTCACTACCCAACAGTGGGTAAACCACCAGTTACAGAATGGATTAACAATAAAATATATGTATAAATATTAATATATTTAAAAAAGAGAAGCATCATAAGAAAAAACAGACACATTAAAAAAAGCAATAAAACAGAAAAAATGAAGAAGCCTAGGGCCAAAAAACCTAAGAAATATTGTGGAGAACCTTATAAATTTTGTTGTTAAAAACAGAGAAATCAACGGTGAAGACCCTTAACATTGGCATACACTATAATATAACTAAAGGCAGTGGTTTGCTGTAAACAGATGATGAAATGATAAGTTTATGTCCAACTGATTAAAATAGTTATGATTATGATGATGATAATGATGATGATAATTGTTAATAATTATGCATACTTTTATGGTTTTATAGGGGGCGCTCTTTTGATAGTAGAACTACTTTTGAATGAGACTAAAACTGGTCCCTTGCATGTGCTACAATGCAACCTTGAGATGCTTACAGAGATGAGCGGGAGAGAAAGAACAGAGGAAGAGTACCGTCAATTGCTGGATCAGCATGGCTTTGTAGATTTTCGATGCCAGTTTGTCATGGGGTATAGCAATATGCATGCGATGATAGCTTACAAACCATGAAGTTGGCCATTTAATTAACAAGTTGAACAATAGTTAGCCACTTTATCGAAAATTAAAATGTTATTATTATTTATTGTACTTGTAATACAAAGACTTGGATAACAAACTATGTGTAATAGCTGGATTATATCAAAATTGTTATAATGAAACTTTGATTAATAAAGTTAAAATAAAAAAACAAATTTAGGCATATTTCATGATGATTATTCAGACTTGTGCTTCAAATATTGAAACAGTTTTTTTTACATCAAATTAGAGAATAGAAAAATAATTTTCCAGATTTTAGTACTTCATGCAATATAATGAAGATTTAATAGATTTAATTTCATACGTGGGCCTGTCACGCCAAAATCGGTCTAGGGGACCGATTTTGGTCGAAATTTGTCCGGCGGACCGATTTTTGCCGTCAAAATCAGTCCTTGGATATAAATATTGGTGCAGCCAGGACTAGTTTTGGAGTAGCCTAAATCATTTTACCTATGCCTGCTACAGTCCTACACTATACGAGTTTGGTACTCAACCAACTACAGCACAGTGAGTTGTTACTAATTGGTCTGCATAGATTTTTTTGAGAGAAATCTTTAGTGGGAAAATTGAAATTGAAGACCAATCAAAATGAAGGTGATGGCTTAAGTCCAATCTGAATCCTATTTTGCATACATCACCTTAGTATAAGATTTACCGTATTTCACAGTTGACTTTATTTAGTAGGAAAGAGGCTGGTATGTGTTAGTATACAAATAGATGGAAATAGAAAAGGCCGTGCTAACTTCAATTTTACTAAAGACAAATTATATCTTACATATATTCATCCCATGTATTGCTGTTTACACTGAATCTGAAGTGGAATTATATGCAGATCATTTTTTCACCTAAATATTTTTCCGAACATATCCAGGGATCAGATTATAAACTCTTTTTGGGTAAATAATATTGTTTTCTTTTAATAAAATGAGTTTACAATTTGAATGAAGAGAGTTATATTCATGAATGATTTTTATATCTAGGCCTATCTGATATGGTCTTTTAGAAATAACTAAATATTGTAAATCCCTTCATGTATTTTTTGATTAAAGCTTTTGAGAAATTACTATTCATTTTTAACCTAAATTTTTAAAAAAATGTTGAATAAGTAGAACCATGCCTTTATGTTATATGGCCAGACAAACTGAATTTCCACATGAGTTACTGCAGCATGGGTTACCATATTTTCGGCAAGTCATGGTAAAATTATGATTGAGAGGTAGTACTTTTTTCCCACAATTATAAACATTAACATAGTTAACTACTATGTTTGGTTACTTCTGGTACTTTAAAGAATAATAAATAATGATTGTTTTTAAAAGAAAGCGAGAAAGTTAAATATCACTGAAAAAGAAAATATAGTCCTTGCATTCTACAAGTATAACAAAACCTGATAAAATAACAATACAGTATAGTATGTATCAATAGTAATGAAAGTATGTTAAAAACACAAATCAAATATCCCATAATTACTATATAGGATAATAGAAGAAAGCGAGAAATAAAATATAGTCATTGCTTTGTACAAGTATCGCAAAACCTGAACTATTAATATAGTATTTATCAATAGTAATGAAAGTATGTTAAAAGCACCACTCAAATATCACATAAATTTATGCTCTTTATAGCACTTGTCAAGAATATATAGTAATCACTTTAATGTTTTACATGTATATGATTTAAATAAAATCCAAACTGCTGCTTTTATGTATCGTTTACCGCATAATACTTTACCACCCAACATCAGTAATCTTTATACAAGAGCATCTGAACATCATCAATATAATACAAGATTTTCTAGCATCAATTATACTTCTCTTACTCCGTGCACATCTAGTATCAGGCGTTTTTTTGTTCTCTTTTGGGGTCCGAAATTATGGGCTAATTTTCCTGATGACCTAACAAATAAATTTACATTGAATAGTTTTAAATATCATTTTAAGAAGTCTTTGGTCTCGGGTTATGGTAATTAATTAATTATCTTTTTTCTTTTCTTCCTCTCATTTCTATTTGAGTCTTGAAATAATGTGTCTGGTCTTGTGTTCAAAACTGGATTGGATATAATTTTATTGGTATATCATTCTGTTATTATATTAGTTGAAATACAGCTAAACATTGGTACCGGTCACTTTTCCAACTGTTTTGTTAAAGGTGGCTACGTCTTAAAGCTCTAGTAGAACTTACATTAGCCTCCTTCCATACAATATATTTGTTTTTAATTTGCATTCTTATTGTATACTGTATTACTGTATTGTATGGAAAATAAATTCATATTTGATTAGCCCATTGGGTTATATTTTTTCTGTGGCAGTACTGCCGGGGGTCGGGGACACAGAACTGTCAAGGATCTCTGGTGCCATCAATGGTTTTATGTCTACATTAATATTATGTTATATTTATATTGGAGTTTAGTACAGTAAAAAATTCTATTATTCTAGAAATTTGAAACAGAATTATTCTACACTAAAAAGTGTTACTAGACCAGGTGTAAACATAATAATGAATTGTGAATTGTGGGGGCTGCACATGAACGATTTACGGTGAATATATGATACTTTTAGTGTGTTTGTAAGAACCTTCCTACACTGTTTCAATACTATTTTATGCTAAATTTTATAAGTATTTTACAGTTAACTGGCATCGGATTGTAACAACAAGGTGTGTTTTTAGCCCAAGAAGGTAGTCAAGCCACACCCACAAGGGTTTAAATTTTTTTTTTCGTGGGCTGCAATAAAATTGCCATTGGGCATCGTGTGGCCTGTAGGCTGCACTTTGACTACTTATGTCGTAGATGTTCATGTAATTTCATTCAAATACATTCACCTTCAACCATTTTAAACTCCTGAGTAGAGAGAGAAAATCATGAATAAAGTGTTTTTCCCAAGGTCATAAAGCAATGTGACAAGAATCTTAATAATTCAAATCAACCGAATAAATATGCTTCCCTGATCAATGACCCATCCAATCAGAGCTGTCTCTTATACACATCTAGATGTGTATAAGAGACAGACTCCAAAGGGAACTACTGTACTAAAGATTTACAAATAAAACATTAAAAAAGCAAATTAAATTTTAAAAATGAAGGCATGTTGAAGCAATAAGCCCCCCCCCCCATCAGTCTCCCCACCTCATTTCAAGACATCTAGATACACCACTGACTTGCATGGCCAGATGAATGAAAATACTAATTCGAAGTAGCGAAGGGACTCAATTGGTAGCGAAGGGACGCTAGCAATAAACAATCAACAAACTACAGGGTGTCTGGGTTAATTTGCAAGGTACTACTGCACATGGCTCAACTATTTTATACTTAGGGTTTAATTGGTAAAAATCGCACACAAATCATACGACGTCACTGACAACGCGGGGGATGGCAACTCGATTTTCAGATTAATTTTCCAAATAAAGTTATACTAAATAACTTCTAATGACGAACTATTGTCTTCAGTTGTCTTTGTTGGTCATTCCACTGTCATTTTATCTATTTTTTCGTTGATATTACCATTCTCAATAATCTATAAAAAATATTAAAAAAACCCACATAACAACGTCACGTTAGATCGATCGGTGGGGACGCCGTGGTGACGCCGGTAGGCTCAATTTTCGTCGGAAGGTATCAAGATGATAAACAGTTTTATTGGACTAAATTCTTCCTTATGTGAACCAGATGCTTACCTAAGATTATACTGACACTGGTTTCAAATGAAATAACTGACAACTTCGGTTTGTATCAATGTTTTAATAAGCACATAAAACTATGTCACAAATACGTATGCAAAAATACACAGGGACACCACGCTGTTTTTGTATTTTTCTTGAAATCTGTACGCCTGATCACCATCATCATACACAGTATAATAGATTCAAGTAAGATGTTTCAAATGGTATAAAAATGTAGGCAAACATGCCTTTGGAACAGTTTTTTTCCCCGAGTTTGATTTACCTTAACGTTGACTCCGTCTTAGAAAGCACCAGGATTAATCACCACGCTGTTTTTGTATTTTTCCTGAAATCTGTATGCCTGATCACCATCATCATACACAGTACAGAATAATAGATTCAAGTAAGATGTTTCAAATTCGGAAAATTCATCGTAGCCATTATTTATTATCAATACGGTCCCGGCGTCATTCCTTGAATCGGGACGGTACGTACTAGTACTTTACCGCTTGAGCACGGTGTACACATGACATGGGTCATATCATGTAAAGATAATTATTTTTCCCGAATTATAATTTGTATTTTTAATGTATTACTAGAGATATGTCCCTGCATTCAACAATTATGTGGATATTCTTTTACTATTATTTACTATCAACTATTGCCCCGGCGTCACTAATTTGGATCAAGACGGCACTTATGAAATTATCTTCAATCACTTCCTGATTTCAGGACGTGCACATGACAATCGGGACGCTACGTTAGTAAGTATTTATTGGGAAATTACTCCTTTATATCGGTGGCACACACAAAAGGTGGTGCATTCACATTGTACATCTTATAAAAGAACAAACAAAATTATAAACAAAGAATTAAACTATTAACTTAACAAAAATACATAAAGGCTTACACTAACAAATTGAAATTGGCAATTAAAAGTACTACTTTTTAAGACAAAGAGAGAGGGGGTCACCGACCATGAGGTGACCGCCTACTTGGCAATTCTTATTGAAAGCATTTTCATTGTTACTTCATGTATGAAAGTATAATACATACTCCAAGTATTGAAATACACGCCATCGTATTTCAATACTTGGAGTATGTATTATACTTTCTTATCTGAGATTAATCAGTGGACCTTTCGGTTTTTGGAAAATACTTCATGTATGTTCTTGAAGTTTCTTCAGTGCTCTCTCATTGTGTTGACGTTGGGAACGTTTTACCTTCCTATCATGCATGGTAATACTTTCTTCCTATTTACTATTTGTATGTGAATGAAATACTGGTTATATTCTGTGCATTTTATAATTCTGAGAATATTCATCGTAATTGTTATTTTTTTAAAGAAACATCGTACTGACGTCATCTAGTTTTCTACAATAATTTAAGTGTATGGGTAGACTTGCAGGGTCTTTGTGTAATTATTAAATGTGTACCACCATAAGCTATAAAAATGTATAGAATATAAGCTTAACTCTGTACTTACTGGTGTATCTACCAAAATTTACCAAAAGAGACCTGCATGTTCGATGAGTGAAGTACTGATTGCTTTATTATTATTGGTTCAAAAATGAGACTTAGAATATGTTTTTTACCTTAAGTGAAACGTTATTATGATTTGCTTTTTTAATGTTTTATTTGTAAATCTTTAGTACAGTAGATCCCTTTTGGGGACATCTTCGGGATCAAAAAGATATCCCCTTTTCCTCGTTCATTGCTCGAAAGAATGTCCCCTTAATAACAGGTGTCCTGTTAACATGGTTTAATTAGGCCCATATCGGCCGCTACCTATAGCGACCGCCCTCCAGAACGGCCGCCAATGTGTGTATATGTATGGAACGTCGATGACGCATTCACAATGTAGTACATTGTAGTTAAATGGTTTGGAAATCGGAATAAAGCCACCCCTGTCCAAAGCCACCCAACAATGGATTATACCGTTGTAAGGTAGGGGTGGACAATGGGGTGTTTGTCTTGATGCTGGTCTACAATAGGTTTCTGCTGCAGTGCTAGTAGTGTCTTTGTATCAGCTTTTGTGTATTATGAATTAGAAACTGGGTGTAGTCTACATAAGCATAAACATCATCAGCTTCTCCCAATGATGCAATTGAGGGTGATTCCAATTGAGTGGGTTTTTTTTTTACATTTTTATATGATAATATTAATTTATATTTTTATACATACTTTCATTACTATTGATATACTATATTAATATTAAATAAATAAATAATTAAATAATAAGTAAATAGATACTTGTCATTGGTAATAAAGAAGAAAGGAAAATAATAGTAATACTAATGAAAAAAGAAGAATAAAAAAATACATTTCCACTTAATTGCATAATTAAGAGAAGCTATGATGTTTATGCCTGTGTAAGGTAAATTAAAATTACGGTATATGTAAAAAGAATAAAATGTTGACTGTAAAAAAAAAAGAAAATACAATTCCTTCTAGAAACCACTCAATTGCATTTAACAGGGGAGTCCCAAAGAAGGAGTTCTACTGCATTGTCTATTTTCATATTAATTTGCGAACCAACAGGGGAGAATCTAAAATTCTCTTATCAAAGTTTTAAAGCATAAGAACCACATTTTTTTAAATGTTTCTTTTTTTGTAAAACAAGGCCGGTTAGCTCAGTCGGTAGAGCATGAGACTCTTAATTTCAGGGTCGTGGGTTCGAGCCCCACATTGGGCGTACTTTTTACCTCAATTTTAAAAAAGAGATCTACATGTTTGATGAGTGAAGTGCTGATTGCTTTATTATTATTGGTTCAAAAACTCTTTTTATCCAAATTTTGTAATGAGACTTAGCATATGTTTTTTTTCCAGTGAAATGTTATTGCTTCAACATACCTTTATTTAAAAAAAATGATTTGTTTTTCTCATGGAACTTAAATAATGTTTTATTTATAAATCTATAGATAGTACAGTAGATCCCTTTAGGGGACATCCCCTTTACCTCGTTCGAATGTGAGAAAGATGAAATGACACTAAAAAAGAATAAATAAAATGCTGACTATAATATATTTCTAGAAACCATTAAATTGGATAATTAAGAGAAGCTATAATGTTTTGCATTTGGAGTACTAATGTTTATGCCTAGGTAGGCTACACCCAGTTTCTAATTCATAATACACAAAAGAATAAAATAGGTCTGATACAAACAACTCATTGGACAGCCGAAACCTTGTAGGCCAGCATCCAGAAAAACACTCCATTGTGCACCCCACCTTACAATGGTATGATCCATTGTTTGGGACTTTTGACAGGGGTGGCTTTCTTACGATTTCCTTTAAAGACTGGAACAATGCTTCCTACATTCCACCATTTTTTTGAATAGGTACACGAGGGATATTGTTAGAATATTACCTCCGTTTTTCAATAGCTTATTTGTTATCCCGTCTTCACCTGGTGCTTTGTTATTCTTGGCGGACAATATGCATCGGTTACAGTTTCTCTAATTCAATATTAGATAACAACTTTTAATTAATGTTTGCATCTTCATCTGGGAAGTCAAT